CCCTCTTGTGGCTTCTGTTGGCACTACATCTGGGTGGTATACAGACTGACAAGCAAAACACCCATATACAATAAAAACAAAAACAAAACAAATAAAACAAAGAATTTTTGCAAGCAACAACTAGCCCACAGAGTGCTTTCAAAACTGTAAGTGATGTCTTAACAAATATAAAAGGATCATAATTATTTCTTCTATCTACTCATATTACAGTTAAGAAAAACTAAACATCAATGGCAAAAGAAAATCTAGAAACTAGGCAAAGAAAAGGCATTTGGACACTGCTTTTGAGTGGTCAGTAGATCAATGAAGATTCAGGAGAAAAACTTAAAAATTCATAAATTCAAATGTAGAAGAAAATATCACTTACTGCAGGGTGATGTGGGCACAAGCTTTGATCCCCATCACTTGGGAGGCAGAGACAGGCAGACAAACCTCTGTGAGCTTGAGACCAGCCTGCTTATCTATATAGACTTGCAGGACAGCCAGGGCACACAAAGAAACCTGCTCAAAAACAAAACAAAACAAATAAACAAACCCCACAAAAAACAAAACAAAACAACAAAACACCAACACTACCAACAGCAAAACAAACAAAAAACAAAAACAAAAACAAAACAAGAAAAGAAAGGGAATACAAGACACAGTTATAAAGGAGGGCTGATAGTTCTGAGAGCTGTATTACTTATCTTTCTCACCGCTATGACAATATTTAATATATACAACATAGGGGACTTGAGATTTATACTATCTGGTTTATGTGTCAGGGCAGGCAGTCCATGATGCTGAAGACGGTGCTACATCTGGATCAAGTTCAAACACCCAGATGCACATGCACAAATACACACAGATTAATTTTTAATAAATGACTTTAATTCCAGCAGGAGCAGATAGGTCTCTGAGTTTGTGAGCAGTCTGGGTCTAGGCCAGCCATGGATACACAGTGAGGCCCTGTCTCAAAAACAAAACAAAACAAAACCAATATCAAATCAAACATAATTCCAACAGTGTAAGACCCTCAGAATGAGGAGTCTCCTAGTTTTGGTCGGTACCCCCAAGAACTCAATGTCCAGTCCAGTTGCTGCAACACACAAAAGGCTTTAATGAACAGGAAACGTTTGGACAAACGGGCCCCCTCAGCACGCAGGCTAGAGAGAAGCACCATCCCCTGGGTACAGGTGTTTTTAAAGGCAAAACCCACAAGCTTGGGGGGGGGGGGACCCCCGTCCATTGAGTATGTGACCCTTTGAGGCCAGATGGTCTCCCTATGAGGGTCAACAGACCTTAGGGCGTCAGGGTGTGCTAATTAATCTTGTCTGGGCAAACCGGAGGTGCAGTTATCTCTTTGTTTCTTAGGACCCTATTCACCACCTGCTGACTCACAAGAAAGGAGGGGCAGTGTGAATTCTTGGTATCTTGTTATCTCAGGACCTTGTGAGGGGAAGTTAGCAAATTCCAAGGAACTGATATTGGTCTGGGTTAGCTTTCCAGGTTAGTCTGTCCTTCATTTCAAGTGGGGGGTTTCTTTAACTTTACTTTTTTGTCTTTCAGATCAAAGACTGCTGCTTCTGTACCAGGGAACGTTTTCCTCTTGAACCAAGCTCATACCTTCAGGAGGGACAAGCATGGAGCAACGGGGGAGGGCCCAGCCAGCCATGTCAACTAAGTCAACCCTGGCGATCAGAGGGGTTACATATGTTGTAGGCAGACTGCCAGCACTTTCTGAGAGTGTTTAATGTGAACCACAATGGAAGAAATCAGTTTAAACACATTTTGCAGTTTTTTTAAAATGTAAAAGTTACCTTAATTGAAGTCACTAGTATAAATAAAATATACTTTCCAAAGAAGAACTGTACACCTATGTTTTTTGTAGCTTTATTAATAGTCTTTGATTGGCAGCAAGCCTTTTGATCAGTAGCAGATGAAACAGTGACTTGTCCACAGAATAGAATTCTGCTTAACAATAAAAATAATGATGTATTCCTGTAGGCAACAATAATGGGTCTAAAACCAATTACTCAATATGGAAATAATTAGAAAATGGGCAAAAACTTTATGATTCCCTTCAAATAAAATTCTAAAAGTTACAAGTAAAATTCAGCCAGTATGAATGAAAGCATGTTACCAGATACTGAAATCCCAGTGGAAAACAGATAATATAAGAGAAGAGAAATTCTGGATAGAAACATTATTGAGGTCATGATGGCTGTATAGATTTATAATGTATATACCATAAAAATGTACACAGAAATGCACATATGTTATACACGAGCATGTTAATTGTGCATGACTCAAGGCCTGGTTTGCATTGGTTCAGTTTAAAAGGGTTTCAGTCTGTCCTACTGGGAAAGCTAGGGGTGCGGCAGGTGCACCTTAGTTCCAGGTAACAGCAGCACATGGCAATGGCTGCTCACAACATGGTAATAAACAGAGGGGTAGCCAACATAGCTAGAACTGTGGTTCTCAACCTTCCTAGTGCTGATGCCCTTTAGTACAGTTCCTCTTGTGGGTGGTGACCCCCAGTCATGAAATTATTTTGTTGTTGCTACATAACTGTAATTTTGATCCTGTTATAAATCACAAATATCTGATATGCAACCCAAAGGGGTCCCAGCCCATAGGCTGAGAACCATTTACCTAGGGACTGAGAATAACCTTCAAAAGACCTGCTCCTAGTGACCGACTCCTGCTACCCATGCCTCATCTAAAGATACTACCATCTGCCAAAATAGCATCACTCTCTGGGAAGCAAGGTTTTAAAACAATGGGAGGCATTTCAGCTCCATCCCTCAAAATTTCATTCCTGGCTCCCCATGGCTCTTAGCCATCTCACGATGCAAAATGCATTTAGCTCCACTTCAAGAGTCTTCAATGTTAGCAGTCGCCATACTGTTCAGAAGCTCAGTTCCTTCTGAGATCAAAGGTAAACCCTTAACTGAGCCAAATACAACCAAAAGAAGGTTATGTTAAGCCCCATCCACAATGGCACAGAGTAAACATTCCTATTTCAAAAGGGAAGAACTTGGCCATAGAAGGGAATAAGAGGAGAGCAAACAACAAACAAAAAAAACTAACCGGGGAACACTAAATCCTGTAGCTCCACTTCCGGGATCAGGATCACGTGCTGCTGTCACCTGATGTTCAACAGGCTTGAGCATGCCTTGTTATTTGTACCCAGTATGGCTTCTATTGGATTGGTTCCTCTTGGTGCTGGCATTTTTCCTCGTCAACATCCTATGTTCCTGACATGCAACATGCAATTCAGTCTTAATGTTTCAAGCTCCCGGTCAGAGACACTTGAGAAAACGGACCCTGTCACACGTTAGCATCACAGGCTATTCATCGGAATTGGCGGAAGCCTCTATGACGTTCATTATACCTTCCGTTCTGCCTGCGGCATGTCAATGGTATTAATACTGCCAGTCCTAGCAGAACCACGGCCTCCTTGGTACACAGCTGCAGCGGCCTGCACAGGGGGAGCAGGACTCAGTAAAGCATCTCCCAAAGCAATTCTTTTGCAAACCTTAGCAGCATCCTTTAAAAGGGAAGTTCCCGAGATTGTAGTTTAACAGCCTAGAGCCTGCAAGGTATTTTTTTTTCTCTCTCTTATGCCCTAGTAATGAAGTGCTTGGCTTCTTTCATGGTTCCCATTAGCAACTAGGGCTGCTCTGTCTGCAACTCCACACATTCTGTTCCTGGCAAAACTGCATGCTTTGGAATCTCCTTGCTCTGCCCTTTCCTGATGTTTCTCATAGTAAATCCTGCAGTGAGCAGCCATAAATAATTATGTCACAGCCTGAATTCAGACTCAGTTAAAATTTCAGGCACATTATTTTCCAGAATGCAGCACCCATGGCCTCTGTCTTTGTTTTCATATAAAATCCTACCTGTCAACTAATCAAACCCATATTGATATACCAGTTATTGTTTCCCCTAATTTTACAAGTGACAAATGACACCAGCAATCACAGATTTGGTTCTATGTAAACCAGTAAAAATGTTCCCTTCAACAGTCTTGGGCATCATATCAGTATGGGAATGATGGAGTAAGTTTAAATTATTGTAAAATTTATATTATTGTAAGCACACTGAATGTTATAATTTTAAAACTGACCTCACCTTCAGGGTAACCTGTGGTCTAAATAAAGACAAATCATCCTTCTCCCAACAACAAACAAACAAAAAGCAAGCACTGAGGCCAAACACTGGGACCGAACACCTTGCTTTGCTCCACTAAAGCTCTTGGAAACCAACATAAATGAGGGCCAGTCTTTGCTGTGACAGTACCCCCCCCCCCACTGAGACACGAGGAGCTGCCTCAAAGAAACTGTTCCAGTTTATATAAACAGGGCACACAGTAGTATTTTATCCACCTATGCCTGTGAATAAAAACTCCGTTAAAGACACACGGAAAAAATAAGTCCTTTATTATTGCACGAAACAGCAGGGAGTTACTGGCTAGTGATCTTGGATTATGTAAACAGTAACCTGAATCATGTGAGACAAAAAAACAAAAAAGAAGATAATCCTTTCTGAAGCCTCCAGCCAAACACAGACCAGGTTCTTTTTTAGGCAAAATACAGACACACGCAAAAAAAGGGTGGGGGGAGGGGTGGGATGGGGATTAATGTCATTTGCAAGGCACAGGCTTTCACTAGGCAAGGGGAGAGTATGGGCATGTTGGGGTTTGGGATATGCACTCAGTATGAGGTGATAGAGATACTTTCTAGGAGACACAATGGCAGTTATTTACTTCTGGCAAAGGAGAAAGGAGACAGACTGTCTAGAACGTGCAGGGTACCTCCAGTACAAATTACACATGCCTGGAACTCATGTAGTACTTCACCCCTCTGAAGACTCTAGCCTGCTACAGTGAGCAACAATACAACACTCTTGGGAGGTCTAAGGGTGTTTTCAAGTGTAGGCTTCCAGGAGCTGGGATGGTCTACCTAGTGTTGACGGACTTCCCACATTTTCTGCCTATGACATTTTTGGTGGTAGAGGATGCTAGAGGGTCGTCTAAGATGCCCCTCATTTGCTATATTTAGAAGGTGTTTCTCCAGTGTGAAGTAACTGATGCCGAGAGAGGGTGGATACTTGGCTAAAAGATTTCCCACACTGCTCACACTCATATGGGCGTTCCCCAGTGTGAATTCTGCTGTGTTGAACAAGGTTGGTAGTTCGGCTGAAGGATTTCCCACATTCCCCACATGTATAAGGCCTTTCTCCAGTATGAACTCTCTGGTGTTTAACCAAGTCAGCTCTCCGGCTAAAACGTTTACCACATTGATCGCAACTGTAAGGCTTTGCTTTAGTGTGGATTTTCTGGTGTTCAGCAAGATTGTAGCTTTCCCTGAAGAATTTCCCACATTTGGCACACTCATAAGGCCTTTCCCCCGTGTGAGTTCTTTGATGTCGATCAAGTCTGGATTTGTATTCAAAGGCTTTTCCACAATCCTCACATTTATAAGGACTTTCTCCCGTGTGGACTCTCTGGTGTCTAATAAGGGTGGCTTTTTGTGTATAAGATTTCCCGCACTGCTCACATTCATAAAATTCTGTTGTAGTGTGAATCCTACGGTGTTCAATGAGGTAGAAGTATTGTTTAAAGAACTTACCACATTCCCTACATTCGTAAGGCCTTTCTGAAGTGTGGGTTCTCTGATGTTTCATGAGGGTAGCTCTTTGACGAAAGCATAGACCACACTCCCCGCACTCAAAAGGCTTTTCTCCAGTATGAATTTTGGAGTGTTTAATGAGGTTGGCGCTTTGGCTGAAGGATTTCCCACATTCTTCACAATTATAGGGCTTTTCTCCAGTGTGAACTCTCTGATGGACAGTAAGAGTGGCTTTGTGACTAAAAGACTTTTCACACTGTCCACACTCATAAGGCTTTTCTGTAGTGTGAGTCCTCCGGTGGGTAATCAGGCTGACGATCTGTCTAAACAATCTTCCACAATCCCCACATTCATACGGCCATTCTCCGGTGTGTGTCCTCTGGTGCCGAAGAAGGCTAGAATGGCACCCGAAGGCTCTCCCGCACTGCACACACTCATAAGGTCTTTCTCCACTGTGAACTCTGCAGTGCTCACTGAGGTTGGAGCTCTGACAAAAGGACTTCCCACATTCACCGCACTTATACGGTTTTTCTCCAGTATGACGTCTCTGGTGAATTCTAAGGGTCGCTTTTTGGCCAAACACTTTTCCACAGATTTGACACTCATACGGTCTCTTTTCAGCTTGGTCTGTCTGAGATGATACAAGTGTGCACTTGTTTAAATCTTGCTTACATTTGCTAGATTCAACATGTCCCTTCTCACCGACGACTCTGTGGCACTCAAGAAGCCCGTGTTGGGGGCTGGAAGATTTCTTATATTCACCTGACTTAGAATTCTTTTTATCCTTGTGAAAAGCCTGTCTGTGCTTAATTTTGTTTAGCTTCTCACCTTTGGGAGTGGCCTGGGATTGGAGAGGATTCCACATGGCTGGGAAGTTCTCTCCAATCTTACTACAGATGAAAGGATTCCCTGATATATGGCATATACAGCTCTTCACAAGGGAGCCCACATCTCTCTTTAACCAGTTCTTGGCTCTAGGGTGCTTCTGGTCCAGGAGGTTTGCACACACCTCAGTCAGATACGGTTTCTGCTCAGGTAGGTCATTCAGATGCAAGATGTCTCTCAGGACTGCGACACAGATGTCAGAAGGATGAGTCTTCTGCGTGGGTAGACCCTCCTTTGGAGCCCTGACCTGTGGTTCTTCAGCTGGTGACACAGTCTGTGCACAGGTTGTTTCTTCAGCCTCTGCTTCATGGCAACAAACTGAAAGCACAGAAAACATAGTCACTGTGGTGGGAACGGCCAATCGTGTTTTTAAATTTATTCTCCTTATTGAACTCACCACGAGGGGTGGCTATTGTTTTTAAAAATTTTATAAGCTTAGCTTTATATTCAGATCATCTTATGATCTGCAGGATACATGATAAAAATATCTGCCCTCAGCTTCTAGCTACCTTCACTGCATAGATGTAAGTTGTGTCAACTGAAGAGAGGGAAAAAAAAAAAAAAAAAAAAAAAAAAAAAAAACATGATATAAACCAATTTAATCTTTCAAAGCAAATCTCGATTTTTGGAAGATTTTTGTCTGAAAGACTAGTTAGTGTCTAACAATCTGCTTTTAGCCAGCTATCTACAGGTGGATTTCATTTGTCGTTGTGGGGGACGGGGAGGAATATTATTTAAATATTTTCATAAAAGCAGAAAGACTATAGAGCAAATAGCCAGTCCTTCCCTTACAGGCACCAATCTAGATGTTTGTTGGGGACCATCACCATCCTCACCATTCAGGCCTCTGAGATAGAAAATCATTGCCTCTTAAGAAGTAAGCAGAATGTTTAGCAGAGCATTGCTAGATACAGGCTTGTGGTTTTACAACCAGTTAAAGAACAGCTCAGGATATTCCTCCTGCTGCAGTTTTACAGCCAGTTAAAGCTTAGTTCAGGGCATTCCTTCTACTGACCCTTTCACCCTGCCCACTTGCAAACCCCCACTCACACCCTGCCCATGGTCCTAAAACAGCCTCCCCTGAGAAAATACAGTTTGACAGCTTGATCAGAGCATGGACTTGCTGTTCTTTTCCTCCCTTGTCCTTCGATTCCCCTAAGTGTCTCCCAGTTTGTCACTGACTGCCCCGTGGGATGGGGCAGATGTTAAATGAAAACATTTCTCCCATGTGTACCTCCTTTTTTTCCCTTAAAGATTTGTCTTTGTGTTTCTATGTATTCTGTCTTTAAGTTTGTCCGTGTTTACACGCTTATACGCATAGGGTGTCAAATCTCCAGGAGCTGGGTTGTAGATTGTGAGCTGCCTCATGGGCATGCAGGGAATTAAACTCCAGTTCTCCGAGAAAGAGTAGCAAGCGCTATAAACCATGGAATCACTTATCTCTTTTCCCTTTCTTTCCTCTTGGTCCTCTCTCTCCCTCTCTCTCTGTCTTTCTCCCAATCTTTTCACTCCTTCATAATATGGGCAGGGAGGCCAATTCTTAATAGCTAGGACAAAACTTAACTATAAACATATGTGTTCAGTTGCAGTTAGAATCATCCAGAGCCAATACTGCAAACCATGCTTTCATCATTTCTATATACATGAAAGACTTCTTTGCCCTAAATATCCCAACCATATTCTAGACGAGAAGGCCGCTTTCCCAACCATATTCTCCTGGGAATGGAGACATGTCTCTGGTTAAGAGTGATCACTGCTCTTCCAAAAGATTCAAATTTTGTTTCCATCCATCCACATTGGACAGCCCACAACCATCTCTAACTCTAGCTTTAGGAGATGCCATTTTCTTTTCTTGCCGGTCAACTCAAGTGCACATGACCTGCCCTCCAGTTAATCCCTTTCTTGTATTTGCATCCTCAGCACCGGCTGTTTCCTGATGATACCCCGAATGATGCAGTGTATCTCCTTCTCTCAGAAACAAATCCCCTTTCAATAGCATTCATCTCTCCACGATGCCATTCAGTCGTCTGTAGAAATTCAAACCCACAGTACATCTCAGTGAGAGTGCAGCAGCAAGCAGGGCCACTTGTGTGGCGGAGCAGAGGCTGCTCCCCGGATTACTCCAGTTACTGCCGAGAGTACGTACGGGTCAACACAGGATGCCTGAGTGACCTTCTGAGCGCTGGCATGCTTGTGCTTTGGTAGGTTCCTGTTTGTGCCCTGTTCAACTTAAAACTGTGCCAGGTCATACTGTACGGTAAACGCTATGTATTCTCAATGTACCTTTGGGTCTAAGGGCTGCAGGCCACTTGTGTGTCTCTGGGCCTGTTCGGTCCTAGGGATCATATAGTAAGGTAAGGGTAGGATGGGCTACTGCCGTAGCTGCAGGAATTGTCAGGGCTGTTGGCTAGTTGATGGGAGAACAATGCTCCAGGAGAAACAGAGTGAGGTGTCTCATGTTATAATTTAAAATGACTCAATAGGCAGGCAGTGAAGGGTAACATGGAGGTCTAAAGGTGAGGTACTGAGCCTCAGTGGCATTCCCCGGTGATTTTATGACATACTTTCTACCTTTATAGATGATGGTAAAGAGGCTCAGAAGGCCCCTGGTTGACATGCTCATAAAGTTGTCACAAAACAAAGAATTCAGGAAATTAAGCTAATGTTACCACTGTTCTCCCAGATATAGAGTCCAAGCAAAACACCTTAGAGAGGTCACCATTTCTAACCGACACTACTCCTAACACAAGGAGCTCACCACACAAACATCAACCCAAAAGGTGCAGACCCCAGGCCTTCCCTACCTCCCATGCTGACCGGATGTGCTAAAAATGGAAACTAAAGAAACTGAAAATTCAGCCCAAATTCAGCAAACAGAAATCCAAACAGAGATACATAGAAGAGGGGAAGATTAAAAAAGAAAAAAAAATTGGTAAAGAAAGATACTATGATCGTATGTATGTATACATACATACATACACATATATACACATATGTATATATACATGCATGTACACATATATGATCAAGGTATTATTTATATAAACATACACACACACACGAATGTGTATTTTAAAGACGCACTAACCTCCACACACTATAGCCTAGCTCCATACCAAGGCTGTCTTCTGACCGGCTTTGCCTGGCTTAGGATCAACCAGTTTTATCTGGTCCAGCTCCATCACACATATCCTACACTCGCTCAATCTAAGGTAGGATAAAATCTCATATCAGACACATAACCAAAAAAAAAAAAAAAAAAAAAAAAAAGTTCACATCCCAGGCTATGCTGAAAAAACAAAACAAAATGAAAGGTCAAGACAAGACAGCATGTCTCCCATCAAAACCACTAGTCTGACAGAAATGTTCTGTAATGAGAATCACTTAGACAAACCCCAGGATAGAGAACTGAAAAGGAGTATCATCATCAGGTGTGGTCGCACACTGCTGAGAGCTTGAGGCTAGCCTGGTCTACATACTGAGTTCCAGGACAGTCAGAGGTACATGAGACTGTCTGAAAAACAAAGAAAACCATCAACTTTATGAAAGGCTTCAAGGAGTTTAAAGAAAACACGAACAGACACCTAACTGGATTTCAACACGGCAACAATAAACACCTGAGTCATGCCCAAGAAAATACAAATATAAGGATAAAGGAACTGATGAAATCAGGATCTGAAATCTGAATTCAGTAGAGAGACAGAAAACTCAAGCTGGTATGGGGACGGCCCTGAAAAAAATTACATCAGCCTTACACACAGATAGATCAAACAGAAGACCAAATATCAGGTCTTAAAGGTAACTCAACAAAGTCAACTAGAAAACTTATGTAAAAACAGATGGATAAAGTGAAAGGCAGAATATCACGTGTGGATGATGAAGCAGGGGAATTAGACCGCACAAACAATGATCATGAAAAAATTTAAAAGCACAAGAAAAGAATATGCAGGAACTTTGGGATACCACAAAAAGATCCAATCTTAGAATTTTGCTATTTTTTTAATTTTTAAAATTTATTTTATTATTATTACTATTATTTATTTTATTATTATTATTAATCTTTGAATTTTAGACATGAAGGAGAGAAATTTGTTGTCAACAAATCATAGAAAAACTTCCCTAAACTACGAAAAGGCAGACCCATATAGATACAAAATTACACAGTTCACCAAGCAGATGAGACCAGAAAAGAACCTTCCCACGACATGTTACGGTTAAAACACCAAATATACAGAATAAAGAAAGACTATTAAAAGCTATACGAGAAAACACACCAAGTTGCACCAAAGCCTTCAGAACAACAGCTGATTTCTCAGTGAAAGCCACAAGAGCCCAGAGCAATGCACTTCAGATTATAAATGACCATGACCACCAACCTAAATTTTACTATCTACCAAACGTATCTTCCACAACTGAAGAAAATGGTGAAGGAGAAGGGAAAACTTTCTGTGACACAAACAGGTTAAAAGAATTAATAGGCAGTGGACCAACCCTGAACATAATGTGGGAAGCAACACTTTGGAAGGGAAAGAAGAGTCAGCATTGCCAAGGGACACAGATGGTTCTAGGAGAAAGAGACAGAGAGGACTCAGGGGATGGGAGGTATGGACGCCTTACCCAGTGGCATTATAAGTGCAAAGTTTTCCAGCATCACATCAAGATACAGGAGCCTCTGAGCTTCATCCAGGAGCTTCCATTCTTCCCGGCAGAAGTACACAGCCACGTCCTCAAAAGTCACACAGCCCTGTCATGATGGGGACAGGTCACTCAATGACCAGAGTCTTCTAGGATTCCCAGTTTACTCACCCACCTGTTCTCCCTTTGCTTGGTCTCCTCTTGAGAAGCTAGAAAGCCAACACATTGAAGCTCACCTGTAACTTCATTCCCAGATCACTATGACCTCCCGATGCACCCAGAGAAAGATCAGGAGGGAGTAGCTATGCATTTGGGACCTGCCAATAACAAGGCTATCTTTTTTAAATTTCTCTTTTATTTAATATTTTTTCTTATCTCACACATTGATCCCAGTTCTCTCTCCCTCCCATCTTCCCATGCCCCCCACAAACTCCACAGAACCACACTCCATCCACTCCCCAGGGAGGGTGAGGCCTTCCAGGAGGGATCATCAAAATCTGTCAAGTCATTTGGAATAGGACCTAGGCCCTCCCTCGTGTCTCTAGATTAAGGGAGTATCCCTCCATGGGGAATGTGCTCCCAAAGCCCTTTCATGCACCAGGGATACATCCTGGTTCCACTATCAGAGGTCCCTTAGACTGCCCAGACCTTCTAACTGAGACCCACATTCAGGGGATCTGAGTGGGTCCAATGCTGCTTTCCCAGCTATCAGTCTGGGATCCATGAGCTCCCCCTTTGATCAGGTCAGCTGTCTCTGTGGGTTTCTGCAGCCTGGTCTTGACTCTTTTGCTCATCACTCCTCCCTCTCTACAACTGGATTCCAGGAGTTTGGCTCAGTGTTTAGCTGTGGGTGTCTGCTTCTGTTTCCATCAGCTACTGAATGAAGGCTCTAGGATGGCATGTAAGTTAGTTATCAATCTCATTATCAGGGAAGGACATTTAAGGAAGCCTTTCCACTGTTGCTTAGATTGTTAGTTGGGGTTACCCTTGTAGGTCTCTGACAAGGCCATCTTAACTTCTGTTGAGGCCCTAGGCCCTTAGGATGGGAGAAGGTGGGACATAAAAACCAGTGTGAGGGTTTGTAAGTGACTTTTTGCTGTAGGCAGCAGGCGGTCAGCTTTGATTTCTCTGAAACAGCCCATTTCCCTTTGCATGTGGTGGGTGCAGAAGGGATTGGGGTGCACCGACTCTTATCCCAGCCAGTACCATTACAGCTGCTTCCTTGCTCACAAACCAACTCAGTGGGTACTATTGCAATGTTTTCCTTGCCCCTGGACAGAAGCTGAGGCTCTTGCTATTGAAGGAATATGAGGGGCCTGTCAACCAATAGAAAGTGTGTGTGTGTGTGTCTGGGGGCAGGGCACCCTGAGCCCATGATAATTCCAAACACATTTAGAGGTAATGGTTCTGATGTCCCTCTCCACATACTTGAAGAGAAAGGAAAACTTATCCGCATGCTTTGTTCTACTCTGAGCTCTTTTCCTGTCTTTAACCCTTTAGCTGACAGAGACAACTCATAAAGTTTAGCTGGCCTGACTTGGGTCAAGCAATTTTTCTAGGGTTCCCCCCCCCAAACAAGTAAGACATTGCATGCCATCCAAATCTCAGGGCCTACTGGTGTTGAGCTATCATTTCCCATTACTGTTTCTTCTTAGTCCATACCTCACTCCCACGGCCACCTCAAATCTGTAATGCCATACCACAGGCATCTCCTTGGGCTTCGTTTAGCAGAAGGTATCTAGAGAAAGCTTCCTAAATGGAAGCAAGAAGCTTTCTAGTGTCAGGGGTCACTGCCATTCCCACTCGATGCCTTTATGGCTGGTTCTGTTCCTTGTTTCAGTGCCAACGGCCATCATGTCTTGCGGAATGACAGATTGGTTTTCAGTGTCTAGCTATAGAAGCCCTTCTGTCCAGACATACTGATCCTCCCAGAACACCTGTGCCCCTGAGCTCTCCGTCTTTCTCAATGAAACTGCTCGGACAGGCCAACGTTGGTCCCTCCTCCTCCTAAGTGCTGGTGAGGCTGGTGTATGTGTGTACACAGACATTCATGCTAGCCACTGTGTTATATTATCTCAGTGATTCCAAGGTCTTTCTTTTTTTTTTTACATTTTATCTGAGTTGAGTTCCACAGCTCCCACAAAAGCCTTGGCCACCTACCAGATCAGCTACATTCTCCCCCGGTTCCTACAGCTCCTGAGCTCACTCAAGCTGTGCTAACAATGTCTGTGTCTCCAGCTAGATGCCCAGTCATCAGATCTCCTCATAGCTCTCAGCCTTACTTTTTTGCCAATGGCATTACTGCCAAGGTCGGGTTCCTTTTGGGTGTAATGGTGCACATGAGTAGCCCAAGCACTTAGGAGGCTGAGAGGCCAGAGTACCAGCTGACCCGAGGAGTTAAAAACCAGCCTGTAGAACATGAAGGAGTGAAGAACAAAAAAATAAAATAAAAAAGACCCAATTTCATTTTGTAATTGAATGCCAACCTATAGTTAGGGGCAAAATCGGCCTTCACCATTTTGGATGTTTCTGTGATTAATCCCCAGAGTTTCAGATCTGTATGACTAGCTACCTGCTGACACCCACACTATGGGTTTTGAAATCTCAATATCCTTTTTTTTTTTCTGTCTGTCTATTATCTATCTATCGTGTGAGTGTTCATGTGTGTGAAACACCACACACATGGAGTGTGGAGGTCAGGAGAACTAGATGGAGCTGGTCCACTTCTACTGTGTGTCCTGGGGTTAGTTAGGTTCAAGTAGTCAGGCTTGGTGCTGAGTATGTTTATTCCTCACCGACCTACCATGCTGCTGCCGCCTCTCTCTCTCCGTGTGTATGCATGCACATGTATGTGGGTATACTCAGGGAAATCAGAGGGCAACTTCAATTTGCAGGACTTAGTTCTCTCCTTCTACCATGTGGGTTCTGGGGATTGAGTTAGGTCCTCTGGCTTGGTGGCAAGTGAGCTTTTTACCTGCTGAGCCAACTTATCAGCCTCTCTGTCTTTCTTAGGGTCTCACCACATCATCCAGGCTGGCTTTGAACTGGTGATCCTCTTGCCTCTGTCCTCCCAAGTGTTGAGATTTCAAGGGTGTGCCTCCATGTCAGACTTTACATCCTGCTCTTAAGAAGTCCCCCTCACCCCCCATGAATTCTACTACCAACCTGAGACATGGAGTGGAGCCACACTCGTGAGGTTCTGGAACACTCCTACTCACCTGTGTACAGGTTTGTGTAGATCTGGGAATCTAAGGAAAGAAAGTTGTAAGTGTCAAAGACCATGGTAGGGTTTCATGGGCTCATGGCTTTCCGTGACCACTGTCCAGTCCCAGATATTCATGACCTTTGTATTTCTAAGTTATCTCTAAACCTTAGTGCACAATTCTGAGTCATACCAGCTGTGGGATTTTGCACAAAGCTTAACCTTCCGAGGCTCCACATTATCCCCTTCCAACCCCGTTTAACTCTGTGCAGCTTTTGGAATATTTTGAATAGCCTCTGACTGCATTCATCTTCCCCTCAGTCCCGCGGGCTCCTTGGTCCCTGAGGCTGTATGTAGGCAGTACGCGGCTCAAGTGTCCATACATGACATTACCTATCTCAGCCAATCAACCTCCTGCTAGTCCCTCTCTCCCACGTCTCAATACACTAGTTACGAGAGGTGGGGATCCCACCTACGGGCTTGGCGCTGTTCTGGACTCAGGGATTTCTTTCATAGGGACATGAGCTGAGCGGGGTGGGGTGGGGTGGGTGGGTAGCGCTCATTAGGCGCTACACTCAGGTGTCTGGGGCGGGGGAGCCTAACATGCAGCACTCACCTGAGCTGGGTGCCTCGGAGTCGCCATCGGATTCTGCTGATGGTGCTGGGGCCCGTGCATGGCCACCAACCCTGCCGGTGGTCTCATCGGTTGTCACTCGGTGCCAGCTCGCTCTCTTGAGTATAACTTGGCGATCCTAAAGCTCAGATTCCTCTAACAATCTACCCAAAGGGAAGTTAAACCACAGACAGGACGCACTGTAGGAAGTCCCGCCCAGTGCCAGTCGGTTCTGCAAGTCCAAAACTGCTCTCATTGACTCAGCATTTGCTACTCTTCTCCTGGCATTATGGGTAATGTAGTTCTTGCTGCTCAGATCGTCTACAACGTTAAACCGTGTTCCATCCTTAGAAGGATCTTTACCTATTTCTGAATACTTCCGCAGTAAAGGAAGAGTGGAGATTTTATTTGGGGGAAATCTATAAGTATACATAAAGGAAAATACTCCAGAAGCTCCCTAACAAGCGATGGTCGACACATTGCAGCATGTTTTAAAGAGGTAATTTAGCAAGTCCAAAATGGCATATAGGAAAACCTATACACTCCTCTTCTGTAAGATTTTGCAAACCTCTCTTTGCGATTTGAATGAGCGAGTTAAGCACAGAGTAAGGCAAAGTAAAAAATAAACAACAAGAGACACAGAAATATCAAAACACGAAATTGGGATCTGAAAACACCCAGCAGAAACGGACTGGGGGACCTCCTTTACAAGGGAGTCAACTGTTGTTCCCAACCTGGAGGAGCAGTGTCTCCTCAGGTGAAATTTCTTCGGGAAGAAACGAGCCATGAGGTTAGGTGTTTACCATATCTGCCAGAAACTGACCGGGAAAGAGAGGAAGGCGCATGAGTTCCTGACTGAGCTTTCTGCCCTAGAATGAGAGCCCCCCCCCCCCAAGGCTGAACATCTTTCTTATTGCATGAATTGATTTATTCTTTGTTTGCTTCATAATCCTGGCTGTCCTGGAACTCACTCTGTAAACCAGGCTGGCCTCTAATCACAGAGATCCTCTTACCTCCGCCTGTGGAATGCTGGGATTAAAGGTGTGTGCTGCTACCACCTGGCACATTGCAGGTTATTTTTATATCAGGAGAAACAGTGTTAGTGTCTGCTGGAAATGTTCACGTTCGAGATGTTTTTTAAGAACACGGGATTGATTTTACTCTTGGGCTGTTTTGCTCCTCATCACAGAACCGGGCTGGGCAGGCACAGTCCATCTCTAGACAAGGGGACTCAGGAAAACACTTGAGGGAGAGCTTTTTCTAGGCTGGTTTTGAGAGCGTCACCAAAGAATGATTCCATAAGATTGTGTGTGTGTGTGTGTGTGTGTGTGTGTGTGTGTGTGTGTGTTACTGGGCATCAAATCCAGGACCTTGCCCATGTCAAAATACTAGATCATTTTAAAAAAGGAAAAAAGTGCAGAGAGGGAGGAGTGATGAGCAAAGGGGTCAAGACCAGGCTGGAGAAACCCACAGAAACTGCTGACCTGAACAAGGGGGAGTTCATGGACCCCAGTCTGACAGCTGGGGAACCAGCTTAGGACCTACCCAGATTCTATGAATGTGGTGTTAGTTAGGAGGACTGGGCAGTCTATGGGGCCTCTGATAGTGGATCAGTATGTATCCCTAGTAAACGAATGGACTTTGGGAGCCCACTCCACATAGAAGAATACTCCCTCAGCTTAGGGAGGGCCTAGGCCCTGATCCAAATGACATGACAGACTTTGAAGATCCTCAATGGAAAACCTCACCATCCCTGGAGAGCAGAAAGGGGATGTGATGGGGCTTGGGAGGAAGAGTAAAAAAGGGGAGGAAAAGAAACAAAAGGCAATGCAAAGAAAGAAAAGGAAGAGAGAGAGAGAGAGAGAGAGAGAGAGAGAGAGAGAGAGAGAGAGAGAGATCCAGGCAACCTCTCTGTAGGGAAAGAGGCTGACCCTGAGGAGAAGGTGGCCAAATATGAGATGGACTCTTATCATGACTCCCCTAACATTGCTTGGCAAATGCAGCAGTTGCAAACCTCCTCAAGTGTGTTTGTGACTGTCTGTCAAGCCGAAGCCACTCCTGACTTGTTCATCCGAGTCTTGATCTCCCCGTAGACCCGTTGCCCATTGAGAGGTCTGCGGCATTATGTTAGTTATATTCCTGTTGCTGTGATAAAATGACTTGACCATGGCATGTCAGGGTGTTTTGTGTTGCCTGAATTGGTCAAAGTATATATTCAAATGATGAAAAGAGGCCAAAATCTTGCTAAGCTAATTAAAAAAAATCTATGACATCTTCATTTAATTCTAGGAAGTTTTAAACTTTTTCTTTATTTCTTTCTTGATGCAGGGGTGATTCAGTTGAGCATTGTTCACTTCCAATGTGTTTTTAGCCTTTCTGCTATTAGTGCTGTTGTTGAACTCTAACTTCAAGCCATGGTGGTCTGATAAGATACAGGAGGTTATTACAATTTTTTTTTGTATCTGTTGAGGTTTGCTTTGTTACTGAGTAGGTGGTCAGTTTTAGAGACAGTTCCATGAGGTGCTGAGAAGAAGGTATATTCTTTTGTTTGTTGGTGGAATGTTCTGTAGATTCCTGTTAAGCCCATCAGAGTCATGGCATCTTTTAGTCCTCTTATTTCTCTGTTAGGTTTCTGTCTGGAAAACATGTCTATTGGTGAGACTTGGGTGTTGCAGTCTCCCACTATTAATGTGTAGGGTTTGATGTGTGATTTAAGCTTTAGCAATGATTCTTTTACATATGTAGGTACTCTTGTATGTGCGGCATAGAGTTTGGAATTGAGACTTCATCTGATGGATTTTCCTGGGATGAATATGAGATGTTCTTCTTCATCTTTTTTGATTACTTTTAGGTTGAAGTATATTTTGTTAGATATTAGGATAGTTACATGAGAAAAATTTTAACTGAATAGTGAGAATCACACAGGTTCAGAATGGAAGTGTAGAAGTGACTCTTCTCTCTTGTGCTATGAATAGCTGAGGAAGTCCCAGAATGGGACCAGACGAGGCTTGTATTTGAGGGGAAAGTGACTAAGGACAAAGAATATGGTTGCAAATAGACTATGCATTTCTGCACAGTCTGTCTACCCAAGTTTACCTGAAAATTATGCTGTGAAAGCTGCACTGGTAGAATGTGGAGGTGTCTCAGGGTTTAAAGATATTGCTGCATAAGCAGAAGGCCCTGAGGTGGGGTCCCAACCACTCTCACAAAGAGGTTTGTACATAATGTTAGTCTGTTATCATATGACAGAGATCATGGTATCCTGTTTGCTTAGTAGGCAGCCAACCTAGCTTAAATCAAGAGACCTGAGTTCATTGAAAATCCCTGTCTCAAACATAAGTTGGAGAGTGATTGAGAAAAACATTGGGCTGAATCCCCTGGCCTCTATAGGAGTGTGTATGCATATGTGTACACACACACACACACACACACACACACACACACACACACACACGCACATACATGCACACACACACTTTAATGTGAGAATGAAACTAAAACTTGATGGCTGAACACGTGTTGACTTGTCATCCAAATACGATTAGTTTTGAGTCAAAGCATGTAACCTTTGCAACTAGGAACAAAAGCTACAGAATCAGAATTCAATTCCCATGTGGGGTAGAAAGCACAAAACTGTCTCAAATGAACAAGTGATTATTTGTGAGTACTACCCAGTTAATGACAGAAGTTTTGGAAAAATATGGCTGAAACCCACAAGTTACCTATGGTCTTGTGGACCTTCACTGCCTCAGCTAATTCTCTATTATCGCCGAGTTTCAAACACATTCATAGTTGCACAAATCTCACCAAGAAATGGAAGAAAGGGGTTAGAGAGATGGCTCAGAAATTAAGAACACTGACTGCTCTTCCAGTGGACCAGAGTTTGATTCCTAGCCTCTACACTGAGATTAATAACCCTCTGTAACTCAAGTTTTGGGGGATAGGATGCCCTCTTCTGGACTCTACAGGCACTGCATGCATGTAGACATACATGCAGGCAAAATAAGAATATGCATAATTTAAAATAAATAAATCTTTTTTTTTTTTTGTTTAAAGAAAGAAATGGAAAGCAATCAGAGCATAGTAATGTATGGATTTAATCCTAGCATTCATAGGCTGAAGGAGGAGGATGACCTTGAGTTCAAGTCCAGGCTGAGTTAAATAGAGAGTTCCAAGCCAGGCTGGGATACAGTGTGAGACTCTGTCTCAAGTAAAAATGAAAATGCCAAGCAAACATACTCAAAGACTGTATGCGACAAAATGACCTATTTTCAAAACAAGGGAGTATTTTTCAAAGGGAATATTAAAGTATAGGTTTATTGCAATGTCTATGAAATTTCCAGTGTTTTAACTTACAGGTAGAAGATAAACTTTTACAATTATTATAGAGCCAAAATAAATAAACCCACCGCAAATAGCTAAGGAAAACCTAAAGAGTAAAAACATGCTGGAAAATCACAAAACATGACATCAAATTACATGACAGAGTCAATGTTGAAAGGGCAGATCAACATTGACACAAAAGCAAACAGTCAAACCTAAGGAACACAGCAAAGAACCTGAATATAAAGTGACAAAACTATGGCACCCTCACTTATGACAAAGATTGAAGTAGTAATTTTAGAAATGATTAAACTGAAAAGAACTCAGGCTCACATGGATCCAGAGCAGAATTCTGGAAGGTATTTTAAGAAGTACCACCAATATGACTCACATCGGCGAAGGAACAAACAACCAAACAAGGGATGGTGTCCTCCAAACTCTTTGGAGGTTCAGAAGAAGTCAATAAGTATTTATGCAGAACAACCGCAAGCAGTCTATCGGTGAAGATGAGGCTGAAGAAGTTTTCTGGTACTGGTGCCAGAGGAAGTAGTTGTGAATGGACCAGGGTCTCTCGCAGCACAAGCTTATGGTCAGCCACGGGTTCAGTGTTCTTTTCAGTTAGTTTGTGGGCCCATCACAGTGTCCATGAACTCGCCAAGCAGTCAAGATGTCCTCAAAGGAGGAGAGCAAGGAGACCACAAGAAGGCGACGGTTTTATTATTATTATTATTATTATTATTATTATTATTATTATTATTATTATTATATAGCTGGTTGTCTAGCTTATGTGCACATCAGCGGCACAATGAGAAGAATCTAGGAGGTATAAGTCATATGGAGGTTGTTAAGTCAACCCTCTAAACAAAACTCCCATATTCATTTGTGTAATCATAGAAAGACAAGGTATTATATACTTAAATTTCTGTATTGACTTTCTGAGGGGGATGTGTGCATTAAAGCTGGATCCTCCACAAATGTATCATCATCATCTGTGTACTGAAAATAACATGAACTTATTTTTACTCCTGATCCAGATCAAAGTGATTGTGGACATGATGGAGTAATTGTTAATAAGAACAAAGGGTCCGAAAGATGGAAAACACAGAGAAGTGAGGGAATTGATGTTCACCAGCCACCAGTTATGATTATGCAGAAAGGAAATGCAGCCTCGTAAGATTGAGGAGACAGTATAAAAAGCCAGAAAGGCAGATAGCAGGACCAGGATGTTCTGGGTGGCTCTGGTCTCAGGGGAGGTTCTGCTGGGACCATGAATGCTGTGGATGTGTTGAACCCTCTGCTTGTGTCTGTACAGAATGACAATCGTGGAGCCACTGGACCAGGCCATGAGGAAAGAAAAGAAGACTTCAGGGCACACCACCAATACTGTGTAGAGTGCGTCAGTGACTTCATCACTCCCTACAATTGAGCAGTATCCAAAATCCCGTTTTGTTGTCACGTTTTTGCTCTTACGTTTGAAAAACGTGTACAGGAAGAAGATAGAATTTATCAACATGTAGAAGACACAGAGGAGGGAAATGGAGCAGACGATGTACTTTGTGGATTTTACTTTCTGTTCCTTACAGCTGGATATCTTGTTACTGATGGTCATGGCCTGGAAGATACTCAAGAGGCAGGTGATGCCAATGGACACACTCCGCCCAAACCCTTGAATGTATAATAGGAGCCTGCATCCCAAACCATTCAAGATCTCCTTCCACCCAAAAGCTGCCATTGTTTGAGGCACTCCTGCAGAGAGAATGATCAAGGCATTGGTTGCCATTAAATTCATCAGAATCAAATCTGTGGGCTTGAGTATACATTCTCTGGAGCAAAGGACTAGATAGTAGAACATAAGGGAAAAATTTCCCAGAATTCCAATCGTAGTTTGTAATAATAAAATAATTCTGATTGCCAGAATCCAGATGTCCATTCTGTAATTCAGTACAATTTCCTTTAGATTATGTCCTTGGTATTTCTCTGGTCTAAATGAATAATAGCAAATGTTTGTAGCTTATGGTAAAAGAGGATACCTTTATACCATGGAGCTTTGATGAGCTTAAGCAGAAGGTCATGCAATTCTCAGGAATTCAAAGGCAGCCTAGAGGACATAGAAAGACCCCATCCCTCCAAATTTTGATACAAGCAGTCCCTTTCTATATATTTTACCATGAAACCGCTCAACACATCAAAATGCACATATTGATGGAAGAAACAAATGAACTTTCCCAGAAGATTCAGCAGTTAGGACAAGATGATGTTGGCCTATGAAAAACAATGAAAAGTGACAGTCCATACTGTTGTTCTTTAGTTACAGTTACAATAATAAAGGCTGGATAAGGGGTGGGGGTGGTGGTCCCGAGTGAGGGTCCCAAGGTAAGGGACCACGTGGGAGAGCATAGCAGGTTCCATAGCAGGTGTGGGTGACCGAGGCAGCAAGGCGGAGGGAATAACACGCCAGGAAGATAGAGCTTGAAAGAGGAGCTTCTTTAGAAAAGGGGAGTGAGGGGGAAGGGAAGACATAGAGGTGCCGGGAACAGAAGAGGAGAGAAGGGAGAAAGAGGGGGAGAGAAGAGGAGGGTAGCTGGTGGCCCATTGGAAGCAGGAGAGAGAGAGAGGGAGGGGTCTGGCTTTTCAAGGGGTCCTTTACACCTGCCTGCAGACTAGTATTCATGGAACCCTGAGCTGACCAGGGCACTGCCTGAGTGCATTCTGCCAGGTGACAGGGGCTGGCCAGCGTAATGACTGAATCCTTACACATACGAGCAAACATAGTTCCAAAAATACTGGTATTTCCTAGTCCTTATGTAAAAGAAGAAAATTCAATAATGACCACACAACTTAAGTATGTAGAGTCTTACTATATAGTCTACCTAAAATTAAAATATACGGAATGTGAAATTCATAATGCCACTCAGAATATATGTATGGTCGAGTAACAGGGCTATAGTTCCTGCATCTTGTCCAACGTGGAGATAGTTTTGGTTTAACCTGAAGCTGACTCTCCCTTGCCCTACCCATTAAGGAATTGTCTCTTGGGAATGCACCCAACCTTCTTTTTTTTTTTTTTTTTGAGAAACTGGTGGTCGAAATGTGCAGGCAACTAACTGGCTGTTTTTGTTTTGTGTTAGAGTGCTTGCTTACTTTAGTGCCCCCTGGCAACTGCCAACGAGGATACAGTTTTTTCTGGTTCTTTTCCTTTCAAAGCTCTCTGTAAAATGCATTTGAGGCAGCTCTGTGAGAAGTGTTTCCCTTCAGGTAGTTGTATAATGCCGACTCTCAATTTGGACTTTGATGTTCCCGAACGGTCTTTGGGTCTCAAAACTAGAACTGTAATAAGATAAGAAAAGTCATTGTGAAAACAGCACAGGTAGGACTGATGGTGACAACTGACACCAAAATAATTTAAGAGCTACCTGTGACGAAAATCCACAGTAGACGAAAGTTGAACGTGAGCACACATGGTCAGGCCTGCTACGGAGTTCCAGAATTCTAGTTTTACGAAACCTCACCGAATGTACAACCAAACAAAAATAGGCAAACTATGACGGGAACAGTGTTATAGATAAAGAGGATTTGTGATAAATGATAGCGATTGGGGTACTGTTTATGTTTCCATTGAAACTGTGTCTAAGATAATCATGTACCACTCCTCAACCTAAAGTGGAAATGAGAGGAAAGAGGGCAACGGGTTAGACAGAGCACCAGTGCAATAGGAGGAATCCCTCGGGTACCATAAATAATTCTGTGAAAGAAGGTGTCTGCAAACACTTACGTAAGCAGACCAGGTCTGCTGCAGAAGCAGGCAGCGGCATTTTGAATCAGCACCAGGTGGAGCCAACAACCCCCAGGATGGGCGCTGTTTCCTTTTCACACTCAAAAGCGATGCAGGGACAGCGAGCTGGGTAACCAAGAATTGGGGGAAGACCAGGCAGTGAAGCTTGGGGTCAAAAGTGGTTTGAACAGAGTGGGGATATGAGGTGAGACCTTATGAACTACCAGATATTTACAGTCTCTCCATTCCTCTTGGGAATGCTTACAGCAGAAACAGACTACTCGGTTAGATGACATAATCCAAGCACATAAGGACGATAGCACTCTGCCAAGTGTAAATTTATAGCTTCTAATTTTTAGAAATGTGTGTCTATGTAAGAATGAGTGTGTATAGAGGTCAGAAAAGTTGAAAGGGGCCCAATAGAGGGTCTAGGTGTGGTATTTCAAAATACATGTATTTTGAAAGAAAGAATAATGGACATTGGACATTATAAGCTTGGGTGAGGGCAATAAATGGTAGACAGGGTATTTTTGGGCAATAATAAAACACAAATTAAAATATCTTAAGGAAACTTGTTTTGTAAGCTAATAAAACATAGAGGACAACAACAACAAAAAAGCCAAGCAAAATAATCACTGATATAAAATATGATGGAAAACACTGAAAATACCAAATTTCAGTGTAAGGAGTAAGGTTTTTCCACCTGCCGCTGATCTTGTCCCGCCGCCGCGCCTGCCCCAAATAACGCAGAGACTCTGTATTTGATATTATGCTGTTGGCCAGTTACTTGTTTCTTATCAGCTAGCTCTGTCTTAAGTATTAACCCATTTCTATGTATTTCCACATGGTCTTGCTGAGAGTGGAGGAATGGCGGTTCTGTTCTCTCCAGACTCTCCATCTTGACTCCTCCTTCCTACTTCCTCTTTCCTCCTTGTCTCCTAGTCCCTCCTATGTAAGAGTACGGTTTTTCCGCCCGGTCTTGTGCTCAGCAATACTTCCTTGCTGTAGCTGTCACTCACCAACAAAGAAACTTCTTTTCACAGAGAAAGGAGATGTTAACACATGGCAAGGGAAAATGAGCTAGGCATGATGGTTGAAAGGATCTTGCAGCCCAACTGACTAGCTGTCAGAATGCTATACAGAGTTTATAGATTACTCCAAAGTGTAGATGATACCACTTTTTGTTTTGGAAGCATATTTAACTGTGTTTTCTTACATATCTGGGGTCACAAGTTTAGTCAACATTGATAAACCATTACACAACAGAGTTATCTTTTACATTCATTTTCCCTCAAGTTTATTCTTTATCAATAATATTTTGTCAATAATATCGATATTCTTTATCAATAATCATTTTAGTCATCATATCCATAACCCAAGTTTTAAGAATCTAGAGGCATATGATAGCCAGTTCTCAGGCTATTAGCTTTACAGATAGTATGCCAAAACAAAATCTCTAAACCATGGGAAGATTGCCATGTTCCAAGCAATTTAGTATTAATTCTTAATGGTTGGGGTGCCCAAGAAAAATCATCAGGTCAAATCTGTTGCAGTTAGTATTTAAATTGTGGAATGATATAATGTTTATATTTTGTATCATTGTAGAATTTATTTTTATTCTAATCTTGGCAAGATATTTTTTGTTCACAAGACACTACAGTATTCCTGCATGAGCTAACTTTTCTACTAAAGCAAGGTCCTGTCACCTCATTCCTTTGTCATCTTTGTACAACATACTTTGTGTGTCAATATAAGTCACTATGTAGAGCAGAGGTAACTTCAGCTTATCTTACTTTGTTGCTGTGTATGCCACAGAATCACCTGAGTGTATAATAGGAAGAGGCTTGTAATTTGGAGAGGCTTGTAATTTGAACTGTGGCCAAATTTTCGAGTCTACCAAATTTTGTTGATCTCATTATATTTACTTTGTTTTGATTATCATGTTCCTGAGTAAGTATAGGGACAGGTATTTTAAGACTATCCCATAGCCTTATAAAGCAAACTCTACCTTCTTTATGTGTGTCACAACCTCCAAGGTGTCACAAAGACCTTCAAGTTGATAAGGATATCTTTCATAATGCAAGAAGGTTGACATGCTCAGGACTATCCCACAGAAGTTTAGAAGCAGTATTCCTAGGAGAGTACTGCTTAATAATAATAAGTTTCCATCAGTCCAATGTTCCCAATTGTGCAAGCATTAAATGTCACCAAAGCATGTGGGGACCAAAATCAAAAGTGGGAAAGTGGCCATCCTGTGGCTCATGTTGGCTGGATCTTTGTCATGCATCTGTGCTGGCTTTATGACTTTTGCCATTCTCATCAGATATGGCTATGCCAATGCATAAAAGTCAGTCAGTCAGTCAGGGACTCATCTTATATTGACTTATAAATGCACATTTCCTCTTAAGGAAGGGAAGAGGTATGTGGCATTCCTCAATTTTTCTGCTTCCAAAGCTCTCACACTGATCATAGCAGACCCATTTTCAGTGACTGCATGAGCCAGGTTTAAGAGATGCCTTCCTTCCTAGTTTGGAAGACATCTATAGCATAAACAGTTCAGATAAAGAATAGTCCCTCCTTTTATAATTTCATGTGCTGTGCAATAATAAAGACCCTATGGCCATAATCAATCCTATCTTTTGTTTTCTTCGAATTACATCTTAGACTTCATGTTTGTTTTCTACTGGTTCATTTATACTGTCTTCTCTTGCATCCTGAACATTATAAGAAATGGTAGATGTTATTTTTTATTAATTAAGTGTACAAATGGATAACAGTAGTAACAACTTATGAGTCATGGCTTGCCTGTTAGTTTGACACCATTTCTGAGTTTTATCATAAGTGTCTGATGTGGACAGTAGCTTTATTTCAACTGTTAGGGCCTGAATTAGAGGCCAAAAGGATATGTGGCTCTAAAATCTAAAGCTGTTTGTGTCAGAGTGCCTACTGGGAGGTCTAGAACATGGTTAGTGTGGTATAAACACAGTCTACTGAGTCCCTGGTCATAAAACCATGAAAAATATTTTCAAATACATTGCATTTTTTAAAATGTAGTTTATGTTCCACACATGACATGTTTTTCATGTTGCGGGTATTTCATTGTATGCTTTTTGTGGTGTGAGGCTTTATTTGGGGACACTAGACAGACGACTCAGTCATGCATAGCA